ACTCAGTATAACAATTTCTAGTTCCATCCATTTACCTGCAAATTTCATGATTTCATCTTTCTTTACTGCTGAGTAAAACTCCATCATATAACATTTTCATTACCCACTCATCAGTTGAGGGACACTTAGATTGCATCCATCTCTTAGCTATTGTGAAAGAGCAGTAACAAACATGGATGCACAATTGTCTCTGCAATAGGATGAGTTCTTTGGGTCTATGCCAAGGAGTGGTATAACTGGGTCAAACGGTAGGTTCATTTGTAGTTGGGTTTTTTTGTTTGTTTGTTTTATTTTTTGTCTTTTTGATACAGGGTCTCCTTGTAGTCCCAGGTGACCAGAACTCACTATGTAGACCATGCTGGCCTTGAACTCATTTGTGGTTTGTTAAGTTCTCCACACTGCTTTCCATAGGAGTTTAATAAGTTTGCAGCCCCAACAGTAGTGGATGAGTGTTCCCCTTTCCCCACATCCTCTCTAACATTTGATATCATTTGTTCTAAGGGGATTGTTTCCTTGTACTCTTCCTCTAATTGCTTGTTATTGGTATATAGAAAGGCTACAGAGTTTTGTAGGTTAATTATTTAACCTGCCACTTTACTGAATGTATTAATAATTTCTAGGAGTTTTCTGATGGAATTTTTGGCATCTCTTTGTGTTTAGTTCCTTAGGCCATCTTTTAATTGGGTTACTTCCTTTCTTGGTTCTTTGCTTTTTGAGTTCGTTATGTATTCTGGATGTTAAAGCTCTGTGAGACGTGTGGCAGATTTTGTGAAGATTTTCCGCCATTCTGTAGGTTTTCTCTTCACTTCTGTGGTTGCTTCTTTTGATGTACAGAAGCTTTTTCTGTTTAGTGAGGTCCCATTTGCTGATTCTTGACCTTGGTGAATATGGCTTTAATTATGTTGAGGTATGTTACCTCCACTCCAATTCCCTCTAGGACTTTGAACATAAATGCATGTTGAATTTTGCTTTTTCTGTTTAGTGAGGTCCCATTTGCTGATTCTTGACCTTGGTTCCTGAGCAATTGATGTTCGGTTTAGAAAATTCTTTCCTATGCCTATATCTTGTAAGTTATTACCAATGTTTTCTTCTAGCAGTTTCAGACTTTCAGGCTTCACATTGAGGTCTTTGATCCATTTGGAGTTGTGTGTGGTTCTTGCCTTTGAGTCCATTTATATGATTTACAGTGTTTATTGACTAATGTATATTGAACCATCCCTGCATCTCTGGAATAGAGCCGTCTTGATCATGGTGAATGATCTTTTTGATGTGTGTCTGTATGCGGTTTGCAAATGCCAGCAACATTTGCTGAACATGGTGTCTTTCCTCTAGTGACTATTCTCATACCCTTTGTCAAATATCAGGTGACTGAAATTGCATGTACTCATATTTCAGTCTTCAGTTTTGTTCCACTGATCTACGGTTCTATTTTTGTTCCAGTACCATGTTGTTTTTATGACTATAGCTCTGTGATACAGTTTAAAATCTGGTGTAGTAATCCCCCCAGCATTGCTCTTGGTGCTCTGTGTTGCTTTGGCTATCCAAGGTCTGTTGTGCTTCCATATGAATCTTAGGATGTTTTTTCCAATTCTGTGAAGAATGTCATGGGGATTTTGATTGGCATTGCATTGAATCTATATATGACTTTTGGTAGGATGATCATTTTCAAAATATTAATTCATCTAATCCATGAGCATGGGAGGCCCTTCCATCTTCTGATGTCTTTCTCAATCTCTTTCTGTAAAGATTTAAAATTTTCATTGTAGAGGTCTTTGGTGAGGTTTATTCTGAGATATTTGATTGATTGATTGATTGATTGATTGATTGATTGATTTGCAGCTATTGTGAAGGGGATTGTTTCCTTGTACTCTTCCTCTAATTGCTTGTTATTGGTATATAGAAAGGCTACAGAGTTTTTTAGGTTAATTTTGTAACCT